CCACTTTGAGGGTTTGAGCACTGCAGTGTGGAAAAGGGAGGATGGATCTCTGCAGGGAATTCAGCATCACTGGAGTTTATTTTTTTTTAAAAAAAAAAACACCTCATAAAGGAAAATATCACAACTAGACCCTGAGTGAGACCCACATTCCTGGCTGTGCATCCACACTCCTACCTTAACTCCAGCTGAGTTGATTAAATCCAAGTATTTCTAAACGTTGAGTCATAAGGAGACAGAGTTTTCTGGCTGCTGCTAGTGGTGGGTTTCTCTTTTTTATTATTATTTTTTTTTTCCTCTCCTTTAAAGCCTAACTGCAGTTCTGAGTCAGACCCTGCCTGCTTCGTTCAGGGAGTTTCGAGGCGAGTTTCCATTTATACGGGAGCCTTTCAAAGCCAAATTTCTGCCTTCCTCCTCCTCCTCCTCCTCCTCACCCCGAAACCAGCGAGCACAGACTGCCCCGGGTGAAAATGCAGATCGTGACTAATCACACCCAGCAATGCAACTGAAGGAAGCCACTTCCAGCACTTCCCCACAGCCTCACCTGTGCTCCAAAAAAAGCCCCAAAATCCCAAAGCTCGGCTCCTTCTCATCCCAAAGCCCGCCCCGAGCTGACATTCCCAAAAAAAATCCGCCCCTCCCCTGACTCAGATCTTCCCGCAGGTCACTCGCAGCACCCTGGGCCACGCCAGGATTTTTTTTTTTCCTGAGGCGCTGCTTCTCCCAGAATCCATCGGCTCCCCCCATTTTTAAATTTTTTTTTTTTTTTTTCCAATCCCCAAATCCCACAGGGAAGCCTTTTATCCAGACAAACCGACCCCCGGAGTTCAGAGCCCTGCCCCCATTCCCACCCCAGGAAAACCACCACATCCTGGACACCCTTCCTTCCCTGCTGCCCCTCCACACTGAGAAATTTCATCCCCCCCCCAGCTTTTTCCAGCCCTAAACACACACACACACAAAAAAAAATCATTCACCTTTTACAGATCTCATTTCCCACCCCAAAAATCCCCCAGGTTTTATCAAATTTGTCCCCCATCCACGCAGGAATCGGTAATATCCCTCCCTTGAAAACACAGCTCCAAAAATGCCCCTCAAAATCAGGTAAAACTCCCCAAAATCAGGTACAAACATTTCCCCAAAAACCAGGTACAGACACCTCCCAAAAACAGGTAATGCTTCCCCCAAAACAAAGTAAAACCCCTCAAAACCAGATACAGACAATTCCCCAAAAACCAGGTACAAATCCCCAAAAACCAGGCACAGACCTCCCCCAAAAACCAGGTACAAATCCCCCCAAAAAAATAGGTACAAACCCCCCAAAACCAGGTGGAGACCCCACATTCAACCCTCCCTGTCCCCATCCCACAGGAAACGCTCTCCCTTCCTGAACATCCCCCCCAAAAACGGCTGCAAGGGGGGCTTGGGGAACCCACACAATTCTGGGGGTGGGCACTGAGCCCCCCCACACCCCACAGGTGAGGGAGGACCCCCCAAACCAGCCCTGCAGGTAGAAGGGACACCCAAAACTACAGGACAGAGCCACTGTCCCCAATTAGCCCTTGGGGACCCCCAAAGGTGCAGGACAGAGCCACTGTCCCCATCCAATCCTTGGGGACCCCCAAAGGTGCAGGACAAAGCCACTGTCCCCAGCCAGGCCTTGGGGACACCCAAAAATACAGGGCAGGGCCACTGTCCCCAAGCAGACCCTTGGGGACCCCCAAAGCGCCCCCCGAGCACAGGAGGGACACCTGAGGACCCCCAAAACAGCCTGGAGACCCCACAGGTGTCGAGGTGCCCCTAAATCTCCTCCTCGCACGCAGGGAACCCTCAAAACCCCCCAAACCAACCCCACAGGCCGGGAATTTCCTCCACAACAGGAAGGGCTCCACGAACCAGCCCCTGGAGCCAGGCAGAGCCTCGTGGACCCCCAAATCCCCCTCCAAAGGAGCCTTTCGGCCCAGAGGGAGCCCCCCAGATCTTCAAGCCCACCCCAAATCAACACCTCAGCTTTCTGCAGCCCTGAGACCCTCCCAAACTGTCCCTAAGAGCACAAACCCGCTCCAAACCACCCATAGGGGCCTAAGGAGGCTCTCCAGCCCAGAGAGGCCCCCCCAAAGCAGGGAATCCCCTCCAAACACGCCAAGCAACACCCGGCATTTTCCACCCCCCCTCATTTCCCAGCTCCCGGGGCGGCGCCTCCGCAGCATTTTCCCGGTTCCCCCCCCCGCCGCTCCGAATCGCCTCGGTGTCCCCCTCACCCTGGGCATTGAGCGGGCCGGGGGCCGGGCGGGGTCGGGCGGGGTCGCGGGCGGGCGGCGGGGCCCGTGACGGGGCTGGGGCTGCGCTGGGCCCGGTCCGGCCGGAGACACCGAGAGCCCGCGCGCCGCCACACGGCTCCTCGCGCACAGGCCGCGCCCCCCCCTCCCGCCCGCGCCGCCGTGGTACGGCCCGCCCCTCACACCCACGGCCGCCACAGTGGTACGGTCCGCCCACACTCTCCCCCGCCCCGGGGCAGCGCGGTGGGAGCGTCCATTTGAGGCGCTGCGGGGGGGTGTGAAGCTGGGAATGGACGGCTGCGTGAGGATCTCGCAGTGCTTTCCAGTGCCTGGAGTGGCCTCCAGGGAAACCGGAGAGGGATTCTTCGTCACGAGCTGCAGTGATAGGACAAGGAGCAGTAAAGGTTAGGTACTAGGCGCAAACTCCTCCCTGTGAGCGTGGCGAGGCGCTGGCACAGGCTGTGCAATAGCTAGATTAGATAATACCTTGAGCAACCCGCTCTAGTGTGAGGTGCCCTCTCTCCATGCAGCGGAGATCGGCTCTTTCCATCTCGCTGCTTTTATAGGAACCCCACTCCTTATAGGCCTCATCCCCCCCCCTTGGGCATTGGTATGGCCCGGGGGCGACTTTGGTACGTGCCGGGCCCCCCCGCGCACTTGGACCGGCCCTCTGGCCGCACGTGCATACGGAACCTTCCACGCCAGCACTCCCCCCTCGGCAGCGCAGTGGTACAGCCCGCTCCACCCCACTGCGCCCAGTGGTTCGGTCCTCCGGGGAGTTCCCACGGCTTCCGCTTGCCTGGAACCGGGACCGGGGAACCGGGATCTGGGTTAAAAACACACGGGGTGCGTCCAACCCTGCCTCCCGTGGAAGCACCAGTGAAACATCAGTAAATCAACGAGCCGTGGATCCGGTTCCCCGCTGCAGCACGGGATTCCTGCCGGCCTGACACCCTCTGCGACGTGGCCAGGTGTGGCAGTGCTTGTGTCACACCTGCTTCCCAATCCCACCTGGAAAAGGGATTGTTCCCTAAAGATTGTTCCCCTCACACTGCTGAGGCTGTGGCGGAACCCGCTCAGAGCCGCCGCTCGCAGCTGAGTGTCCCCAACATCTCACAGCTCAGGGAGAGGTGGATAAATAAAAATCTCTTGATTCCTCCAGCACAGGATGGAGGAGATGTGTGATTTCCCCAATTATAAAAGCTGTTGTCTTCCCATTTCCCCTGCACTGACTGTTGAATTATTAATAGATGGCCGTGTTTTATCCTAATTTAAGCAGCTGCAGTGCCTGTGCTAGTGAAGTGCTGCCTCCACACACAATAACAAACCCCTGTAAAAAAGGAGTTTTGCATTTATAGAATAATGGAGTACCTCAAGTTGGAAGGGATTTATAAGGGCCATTAGGTCCAACTCCTTGCCCAAACCCAGCAGTAAAGAAATTTAAAGAATCATCCATGAAGGGGCAAAATTGAGGGTGGATCCTCGGTGAGAAAAAAGGAACTAGCAAACATTTGTCCCTCAAAATACACAGGGAAGCTGCTCAGTGCCACTTTGCTGGGTTTAATACCTCTACAAAGTCATATAAACCCTGAAAACCGCAGGTCTTAGGACTCTTTTCTTTCCTTCTTCAGCACTGTGTGACACCACCTGACACAAGCCAAGACAGTGACACCGAGGGCTCGTCCCCACAGAGGGCTCTGCTCCACAGAGGGCAGGGAGGGGAAGGCTCAGCTCCCACAAGGGCACTGCCAAGGCCCTGCCGGCCTGCGCCGGGGCACGCTGAGCCCTCACAGCGGCGCTACCCCTGTACCTCAGGGCATGGCTGTGACCAAAATCTCGGTCCCCATGGCCCGGTCTCGGTACCGGTGCCGGTTCCCCCTCAGGCCCTTCCCGCGCCTCAGCGCCGCCGCCTGGCGGGAAATCGGAGCGCGCATGCGCGGCACAGGCGGGGCGCAGTCCTGGCAGAGCCGCGGGTTCGAGTCCCGCAGTGGGCGGTTTGCTCGTGGTCGCGAGTTCGAATCCCGCCCGCGCTCCCAATGCCATCATCGTTTCTCTTCTATCTTTATGATTCTATTTACTTGGCATTGGTGAGGCCGCACCTTCAGTACTGCGTTTAGTTCTGGGCCCCTCAAAAGTTCGTGAAAGGTCAAAGAATACGGTGTATAAGAGCATTGGGGATCTGGGCTTAGTCTCAAGAGGAGGCTCACGGACAACCTCATGGCTCTCCACAACCACCTGCCAGGAGCCTGTGGGGAGGTGAGGCCGGTCTCTTCTGCTGTGTGAAGAGTGAGGTCACTGAGAGGAGACGGCCTCAAGCCGAGACGAGTGAGATTCACAGAACATACTGAAATCCTTAAATATCGGCCGGACATTGGAAGGGGCTGCTTGGGGAGGCGCCGGGTGATGCTGTTTAGTATTACAATGGCAGCGCCGGGAGCACGGAGAGGATGAGTTATCCTCCTCCCACACCCACGATTCGCAGACTCCACCATTCCCCCCCTCACACCGCCCGGGCGCCATTCCCGACGGGACAGCGGCGCATGCGCGGGGCGATCCCGCGGCGGGTCCCCTCACACACTCACTCACACACACCCGGAAGGGGCGGAGCTTCCGGCGCGGCACTTCCGGTGGCGGCGCTGCGCGGGCGGTGTGGCCGCTGCGCTCCCGCCGCCGTCCCCGCCGCCGTCCCCGCGCTGTCCCCGGCCCGGCCCGTTGTCCCTTCTCATGCAGCGCCGCGACGACCCCACCGGTCGTTTATCGCGAGGGCAGGGTCCCGGTGGCCGCGCTCCGCAGCCGCGCCGGCCGCCCCGTGGCGGAGGAGCCCGCGGTGCTTCCAGCGGGGCGCAGCCGCCTCCCGGTGTGGTTGCGGGCGACGGGGCCTCAGGGCAGGGAGGCTCCGGTGGTTCGGCCCAGATGGTTGGAGGCAAGATGGAGCCGGAGAACAAATATCTTCCTGAGCTGATGGCCGAGAAGGACAGCCTGGACCCGTCCTTCACGCACGCCATGCAGCTCCTGACCGCAGGTACCGGGACAAGGGACAGGGCAGCGGGTCCCGGTGGCCGCTCTGGCTCCGGGGTGAGAGGGGGTTAAAATGAAATATTTCACCGTGTAATCGCAGCTCGATGCGCAAGCTTGGTGTGTGTTTTATTGGTGGTTTGTTATGTTATATTGCGTTAGCCGTTGTGGTGTTGCCTCAGCCGGGCAGAATCAAGAGAATCAAAACCTTTGCGGGTTGAGATAATCGTTTAATGAATGAAATAAGATGTGACGGTAATAATAAACACGCTGATAATAACAATTGTGATGTTGAGAGGGAGTAGAAATAAGCGATGTCCTCCCCATCCTGAGCTCCTTGCAGTTTCTGGGATGGCAGTGACATTCCCGGGGGGATGGGATGTCCCTCTGGGGACAGGCGACCTGTCCTTGCCACGCTCCCCCTGCTTTGGGGACAGCTCCTCTCCTTTACCGGGAAATCTCGGGCTAAACGCTGCTCGGGAAAAGCCGAAATATCGAGGTGTTGGTAATGCGATTCCCATTAAAAAAAATCCCTAAAAACAGCGCTTGAGAATAAAAGGATTTGTGTCCCAGCCGAAATCAGGGCAGGCCTTCCATCCCTGGGGGGCAGACGAGCTAAAAAAAGAACCTTTAAAAAAAAAAAAAAAAACAGAGGGGCGAGCCACGCTTGAATCCTAGCCAGCAACATTTCGGGGATTTTTTTTTTTTTTTTTTTTTTTTATTTTAATTCCCGGCTGGAAATCCAGATCCGAGCTCGTGCTTGTGCAGAGCCCCGTGGAAGGAAAAGCTGGAAATGAGAAGAAATGAGAAATGAGAAATGGGAAATGGGAAATGGGAAATGGCAGTCTTTGTTCTGTGCCCAGCCGAGCCTTCTCTCCTTCCTTGTCCAATCGTTTGGCAGCTCGGATTTCCCTGGATCTCCCCTCTGCGGCTGCTGCGCCGCCTCCATCCAACACATCCAGCTGCTCCCAGGAGCTGGAGTCAGCTAAAAAAAAAAAAAAAAAAAAAAATTAAAAATATTCAAATATTCCCATCCGCTTTCTGTTCTCCGTGCTCCGGGAGGATCCCAGAGCAAGGATTTGTTCAGATCTAATCTCTCCCGTGGTTATATTCTGCTTTTTATTGAAAGTTATTTGTTTTGTCAAGGTTTAAAAATGCAGAGTTTTGAGGTTTTACGAGGTTGTTTTATGCAGGGGATAATTCTTGGGGATTGTTGCAAACAACCGGGTGAGATCGTCACGGCATCACTAAATAAATGAGTTTTTTAATCCGATTTTTCATCATCACTTTAATGGATTTGATTAATAAAATTCCTCAGCCAGCTCGGCTGTGATGCCTCCCAGCCAAAAGAAATCCAAGGAATTTGCAAATTCCCACACAAAGAGCAGCGTCCTGCAAAGCCTCCTTCACTTGAGGGGTGTAATGAGGATTTAGGAGGTTTTTTTTTTTAATTATTATTAATTTTAAAATTGCTGATTGCAGCTTTGGGAGATTTAAAACTGGAGCAGCTCCAGCTGTGGATATTTTGAAAATCACTTTTTTTTTTTTTTTTGAGAACATTCGTAGTCCTCATTCAGGGTGAGCTCAGCAGGAAAAAGATGTGGAAGAATTTGAGGTAAAATTGTGGGTTTAGGTCAATTTTTTTTTTTTTTTTTTTTTTTTTGGCCTGGATGACCCCCAGAGTGCTCTGGATTCCTTGGAATTTCAATCTGGGCCAAAAGCTGTGATGCACAACTCCAGCAAAATGATTTCCAGACACAGAAATGATCCTGAGTGTCAGCAGAATTCCTATTTCAGCTTTTTTTTTTTTTTTTTTAAATTCCCCAGAAGTGGAAGTTGCTCAGCCTGCCTGTCTCATTCTGCATTAATTCCTTTTGAAACAACGTCCTAAAGTTGTCTGAAATACTGTGGTGGTTCTGTATTTTTAGAGGGAATTGGATTTTTTTTTTTTGGGAGCAAGGGTCTGGCAGTGATGGGATTCTCATTAATTCCATGGACTCTGGTGTGGATGTGGCCACACTGAGGGATCTGTTACCTTAAAGAGAAACTGAAAATTAGGATTTCTTGTATTTTCAAATATAATCCGTGTTTCTCTCCTGGGATTTGGGGTCTGTGTGACCTTCCTTTTCCATAGGAACAAGAAAATACTGTTAAAAATTTTTTTTTCCTTTGGATTTCCTGTGAAAAGAGCAGTGGGGAGCTGCTGATGTCAGCTTCCCTCCTTTGGGAAAATGGGAGATATCCCACCTGTGTGTCAGCCAGGTGTGGGGTTTTTGGGATTTTTGGGATTTTTGGGAATTTGAGCTGGTTTTATTTCATGGAGAAACTCCAAAGGAAAAAGAGCTGAGCTTGGTAAGGACGTGCTGGGGGACTCCCACGTGGAATTCCCTGCTGGATTCAGGCCAGGCTGAGGCTGTGCCTTCCTGGGAATGTCACAGGGAT